AATAGCCTTTATTATATTGAGGAACTTTCCTTCTATACCCATTTTGATGAGAGTTTTTATCATAAATGGATGCTGGATCTTGTCAAATGCCTTCTCTGCATCTATTGAGATGACCATGTGCTTTTTATTCCTCGTTTGGTTGATATGGTGTATCATGTTGATTGATTTGTGGATGTTGAACCATCCCTGTGTCCCTGGTATAAATCCCACTTGATCATGGCGTATGATCTTTTTAATGTATTGCTGTATTCAGTTTGCCAATATTTTGTTGAGGATATTTGCGTTTATATTCATTAGTGATATTGGCCTGTAATTTTCCTTTTTTGTATCGTCTTTGTCTGGCTTTGGTATCAGGATGATGTTGGTCTCGTAGAATGAGTTAGGAAGTGTTCCATCTTCTTCTATTTTTTGGAATAGTTTGAGAAGGATGGGTGTTAGATCTTCTTTGAATGTTTGGTAACATTCACCCAAGCAGCCGTCTGGTCTTGGACTTTATTTTTTGGTAGGTTTTTGATTACTATTTCAATCTCTTTGCTTGTGATTGGTCTATTCAGATTCTCTATTTCTTCTTGGTTCAGTTTTGGGAGGTTGTACGAGTCTAGGAATTTATCCATTTCTTCTAGATTGTCTAATTTGTTGGCATATAGTTCCTCATAATATTCTCTTATAATCCTTTGTATTTCCGAGGTTGTAATTTCTCCTCTTTCATTTCTAATTTTATTTATTTGAGCCTTTTCTCTTTTTTTCTTAGTCAGTCTGGCTAAGGGTTTGTCAATTTTGTTTATCTTCTCAAAGAACCAACTCTCTGTTTCATTAATCCTTTCTAAACTGTTTTTTTGGTCTCAATTTCATTTATTTCGGCTCTAATTTTTATTATTTCTCTCCTTCTGCTGACTTGGGCTGTGTTTGTTCTTCTTTTTCTAGTTCTGTTAGGTGTGATTTAAGGTTGCTTACTTGGGCTTTTTCTTGTTTGTTGAGGTGGGCCTGTATTGCTACGAATTTCCCTCTCAGGACTGCTTCTGCTGCATCCCATATGAGTTGGTATGGCATATTTTCATTATCATTTGTTTCCATATATTTTTTGATTTCTCCTTTAATTTCATCAATGACCCATTGGTTGTTCATTGGCATGCTGTTTAATCTCCACATCTGTGTCACTTTCCCAGTTTTTTTCTTGTGGTTGATTTCTAGTTTCATAGCATTATGTCTGAAAAAATGCTTGTTATGATTTCAATCTTCTTGAATTTATTGAGGTTTGCCTTGTTTCCCAACATATGGTCTATCCTTGAGAACGTTCCACGCACGCTTGAGAAGAATGTGTAGTCAGCTGTTTTTGGATGGAGTGCTCTGTATATACCTACTAGGTCCATCTCATCCAGTTTTTCATTAAAGTCCACTGTTTCTTTATTGATTTTTGGTCTGGATGATCTATCCATTGATGTAAGTGGGGTATTAAGATCCCCTACTATTATTGTGTTGTTGTTAAT